GTAAACGCTGCGCATGCGCATAGACGCGAAAGGGTGGGGCTCGTCGCCTTTCGTCTGTTACTTCCCGCTCCGGCGCTTGCCGTGCGCTGGATACGGCGTTCGCATTTTCCCACTCTCCCTGCCCCTCCTCGGGTAATCAGCATGCACAAAAAAAGTGCCTGTTGGTTGTTGTTGTGCTTTCTCGGCAGCTTTGTTGCAATTCGATTCATGGCCACAGCAGCCGATTTTAGATTACAGACGAAATGCAAAGGAAAGCCATGTGCTTACAGTATTTAGAAGCATGTTAAGGAAACACATGCCTGCAAATACTTCATTGTATGCCACTATGGCGTGACACCGAATTATATAATTGTTGTGGATTGCAATACACAGCAAGTGTTAGTTCTAACTCGCGTTACATTTTGTCTTCTTCGTTGAAGCGAAAACGCCACAAGCTCTTTATTTCGAATATGCGGTAGCGTTCACTTTTTCGAAAATCATTACTTTTCACCAATACGCGCCCTCAAAAATTGTGTACGTAGAGCACTATGGAGTAAACAAAAAATATTTTTATCAAACTTAGACAAATTGAGTGAGGTCATATCTGTAGCCTCGAAACATTTGAATAATGAAGAGGTAATGAACCACATGTCAGCCCTGCGAAACACACAATAAAATGCAAATCTGTGTAAGTGAAATAGGACTACACATGACAGAACTTGGCAATGAAAACAAGACATCCGTAATGCCGATTATTACGCTTGTAATGAGGAAGTGGCCATTTGGCTATGGCAGTGACATCACGCTGGCTCTATTCTTTGGTGTACAGCTTGACTATTCGAAGCCTTTCGTCCTCAGGTACTCTAGCCATGCCGCTTCTAAGAACTAGCTCCGCCGAAAATGTGATCAGCGAATAAATATGCCCCCAGCTGTGGAAGTCTGTGAAAGCGATAACGAAGCCCATCACTCGCGTAGCCTAATGTTTGTGCTCACCAAAAATGCAATCGTAAGCTTTTCAAAAGCCGTTCGAACAAGCCAGCCGCTTTTGATAACAGACATGGAAATTTATGGTCGATGAAACGAGCACAGCCAGCTTGTCTTTAGCGCGCGCCGAGGCGTAGGGCGGGGTAGTAGCAGACGACGCGGGCAAGTACCGCCCTTGCGATTCTGCGCGCGTGCTCCGCGTTTCCAAATCTCGCCAGCAGTTGGCGCCCCGCGGACCGCCGGCAGCGTGCTCGCGTGTTTCCCCTAACAGTGGACCGTACTGTACATTGAGCCCTATCTGACAAGAAAGGGTTGCTACGTTATACTCGCAGGGCGTAACCTCATCGGTTTTAGAAAGGTTTAGCGAGCGTTGGGCCGCAGTGCCATGAATACAGGGAAGTAGTATATGCAATGAACTCAAGGTGGTTAAAGGTGGGAAGTAGGTACGAAGCGCAAGCCATAAGAAAGTAAAGGCCGAATTCTCTTGTCTCTCATTCCCCACTAGCAGCCATCGGCATGTACATTGAGCACTATCTGACAAGAAAGGGTTAGCGAGCGTTTGGCCGCAGTGCCATTAATACAGCGAACTAGTATATACCATGAAGTCGAGGTGGTTAAAGGTGGGAAGTAGACACGAAGCGCAAGCCGTAAGAAAGTGTGCGTGTGTCATCTCTCGTTTAGTCCTTGGAATGTCCGCTGGACGGCGGTGCTTGTATATCAGGAATATATGATGAAAAGATGCGAGATGGTGGTACTTGGAGTGTTGAATAAGATGGACGAACGAACACACAGACAGATGCATGGACGGACTCATGGATGGCTGCACCGACGGATGGACGCATGGACGAACGCAGGGGCGGATGCATGGACGAACGCAGGGACGGACGCACAGATGGACGTGTGGACGCACGAACAGACGCACGCACGGACAGGCGGATGGACGCATGGACGGTCACACAGACGGATGCATGGACGGACGGAAGCAAGAACAAATGGATGGACGGATACATCACCGCACTCTCCATAATTCACACCGTTGATATGCTGCCATTTTTTTTAAGAAAATCTCCTTAGGCCTGCACCCCGCCGTCACCGTCGGAGCTCCTTGCAACATAAAGGTGGCGCCAGCGCAAAAAGACGTAGTACGGAAGATTCAATATTTTCTAGTCCTGCCAATATACTAGTTCTTTTTTTTTTGTGGGGGGGGGGGGAATTAGTGTCACATTTTTTCACCCCAAGTCGCTATACTTGAAATGGAAGATATCGTAAATAAAGTTTTGAAACTTGCATATAGTACTTTGCGTTGCACTTCTAAGGAGCTTCGCTCATCAGTTGTATTCGTGCAGGGAACAACTGCTGGTTTTTGTATTGAATCCCAACCAAAAAAAAAGTATGCTTATTACTCTTGCTTGTAAATGGCCCCTTGATGGCTCCCTAACACCCTTTTCGTGGGCACGAGACGGTAGACATGTGAGACGAGTAAAGAGAGGCTATTTCGGCCAGCCGAAATGTGTAAAACTTCTCTCGGCTTAGAAGCACGTTTTGTTTTCAGATGGTCGCTTGTAATGTGAAGTGAAGCATGCAAAATGTTGCAAGCCCCGCTGCCCTCTCCCCCATTCCCGTGAAACTTTCTGGCAGTGCTACTGGGTGTAATATTATCGAGATTTTCGGACTTGAAACCCGACTTCAAGTATCATTTCTCATAGAAATGAGACCACCGCAGCTGGTAAGTGAACTTGCACCCTAATGTTAATGGCAGCGCAACGACATGGCTGCTAAGCCACTATGAGTATAGCTATGTTTTTGTTGTTCCTAAGGTAGCAAGCCTGACAAAGCACATAACTCCCAATCGTTTCTTCTTTCCCCCCTCTTTTATATTGTATGTAAAGCGATAGGTTCGAACGAATTTCGGTCCTCCGGAAATGTAACAGTATCTTTGCCACAGTTTCCGAAAGCAATCAGTTCAAACAGCTTAGGTAACAGCTCGTTTTTAGTTATCCTGTTTTACGCAATTTACCAACTCATAAAGACGTCTTAAAAAACGCCAGGCTATCGGGCGAAGCTTTAAGTTCGCGTGGGATATGCGATATGACAAAGACAGGATATTTTTTCTTCCCAAGAAGCTGTTCCAGCTCGTGGTAATGTTATCGTTTTTGCAACTACCAACTTTTTACGAGCCACGTGCATTTCACGTAACGCGTAACGAAGAAGCGCGCTCGCGTGGGCCTTTGTTAAGCTTGTTAATGCGCCCACGGCAGTTAATGCGCCCACGACACGAGCCACCATTTCCTTCAAACACTTGAGACCATGTTTGCCTGAATGCCACCAGCTCGTTACAGGCTTTCCTTTCATATTAACGAACGATGTCTCAAGAAAGTTTGCTTTTTCTTTCTTCGTAGGGTCTCGTGTTTATTTATTGCACAAGCTGAAAGTGTCGTAAGGTCAATGAAAACAAAATAACAAGAAAAAATAGGTAGAAAAAAAGGTAAGGCATGTGTGTGTGTGGGGGGGGGGGGGGGGTATCTAGATAGCATTTGATTACTCAGACTGCTTTTATATGTAATCCCATTTTTCAGCATGACTTGCGTTCGCGATGCCGTTTATCTTGGGTTTCAACGCGATAATATGCGCAGCTGATGTTGCTACTTCCCCAGGCTTGCACTAAGCTATAGCTTTACATAGACGCTGTTAAATTAAAAGGGCTTGCGCGTTACCCAACAGCAATTGTTTAGTGGTTATAAGTTTGTGACGCTCGCTGTGGGGTGGTATGGATTTGAAGTAACACAACAAATGTCCCTAGAGCCGCATCGAATAAGCGCGAGCGAAAATGGCCAGCCCACTTTGCGGGCTCTTACGGAATGTCTCTATAATACAGCAATTGTGACCCACAGATTTAGAGATTGGCTAAAAGCTCACGGACTTGCCGACTGTCACGTCACCTGTGTACCGCAAAATCGACAACAATGCACCACCTTTTGTGCTTTGTAATCAAGATGTTTCATGTCAAAACGATACTCATTATGTATATAATAGACTGTGCGATAGATTGTGCAGTGCCACTTTAAGTGAACATGAATATTCTAACAGTCGTTTCCCAAACGGGAGGAAATTGCACATTCGCGATAGGTTCTGACTGGAACTGTAAGAAAAGCCGAATAGGTAGCTGTACAAAAACACTTACATAAAGGTTTCTCAACCTGATTTTTGTCCTAGAGAACGCAATTCTCGTTGGGTGGCGGCGAGTTTCATCTGATGGTGCAGGAGTGCTGATGCATCAGCCAAATAATTTCTATGCCAGGAATCATCCGGACAGGCCCAGAGTTTCCTGGGAGCAAGGTTTTGCATCGTGGGCTCCCTTCGTAGAAAAGGCCATACCCCTAAGACAGCAGAATTCGAAAATTCTGCGTGCGGAGTGCTTGTTGCGAATATGCCAGAAAAAGTAAAACGCGTGGAACTTGTTCAAGAAGAATAAAACTTTTAGAACAGAGTTGTCTTTAAACTCGCAACGATAACTACGTCATTCGACAAGCGAAAAGACGTCGTGATAGCATGACTTTTATTCCTTACCGCAGCCGCCGCCCTGCCACGGAGGCTGAAATGCATGAGAGATTGCATTGAGGGGCATCTTAATACACACTTGATGGCCAAACAACCCCACAGTGCGGTGTTCCTGAAATTTTCGTTGTGTGACGATCGGTGACGAGCTCTCACCTGAATGATTACAACATAGAGGAGAGAGGGGGGGGATGGGGGAAAAAGAATGAGAGAAAAAACAACAACACGGTGATATGAATAAGCAATCACATGAAGAAAATTTTTGTATAAACGAAGCCAAATATGTTCTCTTTCATGAAAGTTAGCATGACTCTATGTGCCCGGCTATACACGCATACTGCTGCGACTGAATTTAGCGTTAGGGAAAATTGTAGTCATTAGTAATATTTTTATTCGCAGTTACCTTTCCCTAACCTTGTACTAGTTAAAATCATCCAAGCTTCTTGTGGTTTAATTTTTGTGTTATCTATCTTATTACATAGGTGATCAACATTGACTCCGGAGCCGAGCGACCATCGCAGTTACCAATCGCAAGGCCAGGTTTCGCCCATCGATGCGCTGCGTGGCTGGTGCCAGCACGGTGAGTCTATAGTAGAAGGATCAATCAATCAATCAATCAATCAGTCGGTCGGTCGGTCGGTCGGTCGGTCGGTCAGTCGGTTGGTCGGTTGGTTGGTTGGTTGGTCGGTTGGTTGGTCAGTCAGTCGTTCAATCAATCAATTAATCAAGCAATCAATCGATCAATCAAGTATTTAGCCATTGACTGAACGACTAATATTAATAAAATATCAGTCGTTCAGTCAATGAGTCAAATAGTTATCACTTTTTTGACTGAATAAATATTTACTTCTATATTAGTGTAAGATGGATAACGAGATAAGTAATGGCGCCCATCACTGTACCGGTGAGGCTACGGTCTTCGCAAGCCCTCTTTCAGGAAAATGCGTCAGGGTCAAGATAGAACCGCTGGAACAGCCCCCGTTTCCGCCTGCACCACTGACTCACCTATTTGATAGATCAGTTACGTGGCCTAGTGGCGAAATGATCGATAAGTATTCCTAAGAAGGGACGCCGTCGTTCCAGCTTCCTCTTCCGTCATTGTGGTCCTTCCCCGATTACGCGACTCCGTGCCTTCAAACTCATACTATAGAAAACGAGCTCAAATTGGGTGATGATGCCAGCTGATTACACACCTTAGGTAAACCAATTGGTGCCCTTGCAAGATGCAGAGCTACAGCCGTCAGTCGTTGTGTCATCATTGTTTGTGGCACCCCAGTACGCTGACGGCTCTTCGCGACAGCAAGAAACGTGTGCCACCAATGACTCTTTCGACGTTTAAGAAACCACGTAGGATGCAGGCACAGTCGACAGCGAGCGACTTGAAACAAGTTCCTACAACTTGGACCATGACTAAGGAGAATTAAAGCATTTTTTAAATCCTCCTTGACCACGACGCCCGAGACATGCGCATCAATATTGACGATATGCCTAAACCACGACAGCGCGGCTCTTTGCCGCCACTGCTGTCTACGGACTCACTCGATACTATCGCTTATCGTTAGGAATATGGACTAGGGGACGCTGCCTAAAAGAGTGGTCATCATTTCGCGAGCTCCGGCACCATGCAGTGCATGATTGAGGGGGTGCCGGTATTCATACAGTCTAAACGTTCTCATGGTGCGCTACTCTGGCTGGACTCCGTCGTCCTATTTGTCGGCATGTTGATGATCTCCGGCATCGCTCCTTCTCAGTGCAAGATAGCGCCTACGGGATGCCTTCTCGTGGACACGCCCTCGGTGGAGGGCGTCAACAGACTCCTCCAGAGTGACCACTTGTGAGGGGTCGAAGTTAAGGTCTCCATACCAGACGCTTACCAGAAAAGCTCGAGCGTCATTAAGGGTGTTGTCACGTCGTACTCGGAAGAAGAGCTGCTCGATGTTCTTCGCCCACATGGAGTCATCAACGTGAAGCGGATCGTGAGGTACACTGTCCCCGGCATTACCGGTGAAGGAGGAGTCAACAAGACGCTCACGGGCAAGGTCGTGCTAACCTTTCCGTGCTGCCTGGAGCGACCCGCGAAGGTGGAAAGGAATCAGTGACGCTAAGTACAAGTTGAGAAATTTTTTGGACTGGCTGACCCGCTGCTACAAGTACCAGTGCTTGGGACATGTATCCAGGCACTGCGCTTCTAGAATGAGGTGCAAGCGCTGCTGCGGACCGTGCGACCGACCGCGCCGTTGCGCTAACTGCGGCGGGCCGCACAACCCGAGTTACATGGGCTGTAGCGCATATATACGCGCAAATTCCCAGAAGTATCTGAAGCATCTGCAGTGTTACGTGGACGCCGCCCGCAGTGCTTGCTTTGTGCTCCACTAGAGGTGGTACTGATGTCATCTGCATTGAGGCGAACTGGATGCGTGGTATTGTTAACGCTCCGCGTGGCTGTTCCCAGAAGTGAAGAAGTTGAGAATGCGTTCTCTTTTCACCAAGAATGAAAACTTGACCCACGCATGCGCGTGTTTTACATTTAGGTGGGCCTCCCTCCTCACGTTTTGCCTAAATGCGTCTGATAGGAGCCCGACAATGGCCTTCTCGGGAGTTGGCATTATCTTGCTTTTCGCGTCCGCTAGAATTGAGAGCATGTTTTAATATTACATAATAAGGTTACGTGTCTAGAAGAGCACGTTTTATGTGTAATTTATTTTAATAACTACGAAAAGCAAAAAAATGCGCAAGTTTTGTGACATATTCATTTTTCATTACATACTACTTTTTAATATTTTAACTCGCCCAGCTACACCTTTGTATGTCTTAGCTATGCACCTTCCACTGTCTGTTAAATTTGGCCCACGATACATCCAACTTCTGCCTGAAAGAAAAAAAGAATGTCTATTTTACCAAGCAATATAACCTTTTTTTTTATTAAACTGACAAATATTACGTTATTCTTTCTACTCGTAATTCCCGGCATCAGACGGAGTCGCGCTCGCTTTCCCTCGAACAACTGTGCAGGCAAGCCCGATTCTTCTCATTGCACAACTCGACTCTGCTCTCCGCGTAATACAGACCAGAAGCAAGTGAACAGAAATAAAGGGAATCGAACACATCAGCCGTCAAGGGCAACAGCCGTGGAAATAATTTAGCGCGCCGGGTGTTCGTGGCGGCCTCTATTTTTCACATCCCTTCCATCTTTTTAACTTCCGACGTCTGGCGCAGAGCTTAACGACAGCCAGGAGTCTACGCGGTCCACGTGTGCCGCCGCTGCATTTTCCAGGGGTTACTACGAAGTAGCACTACAGGAGACAGGACAAGAACACACAAACGTAGGCATAGACTAACAACAGTCATTTTTTAAAGGGAGATATGCCCATCAGCCTTCAGCTTTTAGACCCCCCCTCCCGCAAGTTCTTCTTTTTCGTTATATTCTTTTTTTTACTGACAGACCTAACCTTCCATTCTTTTTCCGTTTCATGTCACCGTTTTCTAACAGCTCTGGCACGCAGAGCTGCTCGGGAACTGCGCACACTGACAAGCTGAGCTGGCGTGCCAGACCTCCACTAGGTGATGGTGGAAATGAAGTTAAATCTCTCCTGTAAGAAAGGAAAAGAGGATTGCCGGTGAAGTACTAGACAGGAGGACCCGAATAAGAGGTGCCAAGGTCTGTGCCATATGCTTCTTACTCGTTCTCTGGTTTCATTTCGAGTGTCACGCTGCCAGCACTCGATTATTCATACATTTTGTCATTCCTTTGAGTTCAGCGCCGAAATTGAATACAAAGAAACCACGAAGCGACAAGTAGACGAGATAGAAATACACCTAAAAGTGTTTTTTTTTCAAACTTCAAGATATCCGTTCATATTTCTGCTTTTTCAACTGTTGATCTCCTCGCGCACGCAATTCACGCAGCAATTCTCGCTGACATACCCAATGTTTTGATTCTTTTGAGGCTCTGTACGTTTACTGTAGGTAGACCTTCCGGGTAAGACAGGTTGCCTTCCAAAGAAAGGCTCGGATTGGCTCGTTGGAAGATGGCGAAAATTGAGCAATGGTCCCGGAAGTTTGGAGGCTGTCAGCCCACTGCAGACGCCTGTTGTAGATGTTCCGTTTAATACAGAGGCGCGTTTCGAGAAGTCAGTCTTACGTAGGCCTGGATGGAAGCGGATATTGCGAACTGTAACTTAGAAAAGTGCGGGTACATACCAGTTGGTGATTTATGACAAGAAAAAGCAACCGCAAAAAAAGGAAAAAAAAACGAACAGGGAGGGAGACAGTAGGAACTGGTGCTGACAACTGTCCATTGAAAGGGTCCCATATTGACACCGAGTTCACAGTCAAGAGAATGGCTTCCTTCTCGCCTTCGTTACCCTTCTTACTGGTGCCACTTCCTCCTCGTTACTTATTTCTTCATGATAAAACACGCGAAGAATGTGAGCGGTAAGCGTTGAGCATATAAGGAGTTCGTGCTTTTCGGCTCCAAGCTGTTATACGCGCTCGCACGATCGAGAACTCGCAAGACGAACAGAAATCAATTGATCGCGGACGATTGTCACGCAAGTCAAGGCAGAACAGGCGGGCGACTGCGTGCACGAGGAGTGGTTGTAAACAATTCACAAGCGATATCTCTCGGTCGTATATGGACCAGTCGAGAGCTTACCTCCTCATGACGTCACGTGACCAGACTGATGACGATAGGAATTGCACCGACAGTGCCGGAAACGTTATACATAGAAAAAATAACGCACTCGCTCATTGCGTTTTCAGTGGTTGTCTAGGGACCCTTTAAGGGTACGAGGCCGAGTTTATATAGACCAGAAACGCATCTACTCTAGAAACAAACAACAAAAAAGGACTATAAAAACACAGAACAGACATCCCCGAGAATTTAGCAATAGCCCCACCGCGGTGGTCTAGTGGCTAAGGTACTCGGCTGCTAACCCGCAGGTCGTGGGTTCAAATCTCGGCTGTGGCGGCTGCATTTCCGATGGAGGCGGAAACGTTGTAGGCCCGTGTGCTCAGATTTGGGTGCATGTTAACGAACCCCAGTTGGTCGAAATTTCCGGAGCCCTCCACTACGGCGTCTGTCATAATCATACGGTGGTTTTGGTACGTTAAACCCCACATATCAACCAATAAATCCAGGGTTTAGCAATAAGATGAAATCCTGAAAACAACACAGTCACCGAGCGGGTAAGCATCATGTGGAAGGTAATGGTCCATTTTGAGTAATATTGCTCACGCGGTCCCCATCCTTGAAGCATAGCTAGGATACTGCGCAAGCTAGTTCTGTTTTCAACTCGCTATATTTCCTGCCAATAACCAATATAAATTGCAAAATACTTTGCATGATACAGTGAGTTCTACAGTGATTCACTCTCTTCTGAAGTCATTTGGTCCTCTTCCCCATCGCTTCAGAGATACATAGCGTGCTAGCCATATATAGACGCCGGCAAAAACATTTGTTTCTCTAAAATAGAGTTTTTCTTTCTCTAAAAATATAAAAAAACACCAAATTCGATAACAATCATCTGAGAAAATGGGAGTGTAGGGTTGTCCAGCTTCCCGAAATAGCCTTTTTGTTTC